CTTTAGTTTATTAAATAGTTAGAATTATTTTAATATATTAGATTAATATAATATAATCATATACAAAACTCTTTCCAATGATCCCTTGTACCAAAAATCACAACTAACTTTTTTCTCAAAAAACAGTAAACTATGGTAGTTAAAAGTGGCATAAGACTGATAAAATTTATAAACCAGCACTTGTTATTTAGAGATAGTTCTTATATGCTATTTGCTAATAGGCTTAGAGCTTATTACTCACTGTGGGGATAGTACTTGTTATTTAGAAGTAGTTCTCATATGCTACTTGCTAACAAGTTTAGAGTTTATTACCTACTGACAAGAAAGTAAGCAGTTAATCTAGCTCTATACATTTTATTACTTTTAGAAAAATATATACATTCTTTAAAGAAGAATACAAGAGCTATTTTCTACACTATTACCCACTTACTTCTCCTACAAAATTTTTGTAAAAAGTGGGCAAAACAGCTTACCCTGTCAAAAGATCAGCATTGTTTACTTCTTCCAAATTTGGTTAACCTAGTAGATTGCAACTATGTATTTGTTTATAGTTATGTCCTATAAACAGTGCTACCAAGAAAGATTAGTATGTAGATTTTGATAGTTTTCAAAGTTGGTCATATGTTGAAAAGAACTTTTATACTAAGGGATTACCTTACAATAGAGATATATTAATGTGTATTAGACATAATTTTTTAGTCTTGTATACAGGCTTAATAGTATATATTTGTTAGTTTTTTGGTTTTGCTTGTCTCAATTTTGGTTTTTATACTTTTTTCATCTTTTTCCATTTATGATTGAATCTAATTTAGTATACTCTCTTTATTCTTTTTGTTTTTTTTTTTCTTTTCTTTTCTTTTTGTTTTTATTTTTCTTCTTATTCTAAATTTGTAGCTTTCTTTTGTAAACTTGGCATATTTTTTCTTCTCTTATAAAAATGTAAGTGATAAACTATTCGGCCCAGATCTAAGTAAGAGAAGTTTTAAAGGCCAAAGGTTTCTGTATCATGTTATAGCAAATTTTTAAATATGTGTAGCAGCGCATGTGGAATTTGTTGGCAAACACCAGTACAATAACCATACTTGGACACTATTAGAGCAGCCAAGTATTGTCAAATCTGTAATTAGATAGTTTAATATTTAAACTTGCATATATCTAATAAATTTGTATATAGTTATTAAAGTTAAAAAAAAAATATATAATCATTATTATTCTCAACTAAAGTATATGAGTTAAGAACACTTTTAAATTCAAATTTAAGTATTGCTAAAACAAATTAAGTATTACTTACTGGATATTTTGTTTATAAAAATTGTCTATATAGATTGTAAAGTAATATGCTCTAATATTACTAGCTATAGCTAATGAGGTGAAATATTCTAAAGTTTATTTATATATGCTGATAAAAAATTATTTTATTCTTTGATATTAGGCAGTGAATATACATAAATATTTCTATTATATTTATCCTTTACAGTTTAACTTCAAAAAATAGCTTTGAAATCTCTTTAATTGTTTTGATTTTAGTCTTTAATTTTTTATTTTTATTAATACTTATCATATTGTTATCTTGATCTAATTCTATATTTGCCAATATTGTTCTGAACAAGCTTTTAACAGCTTCAATTATATCATTTCTTGTTTTCAAATTTAATCTGATTCATAGATATTATTTTATTACATGTATTATCTTAAAATTATAGTAAGTATATTAAATAATATTAGTTATAAATAGAGATATAGAGAATAATATTTATATGAATTCAAAAAATATATACAATAATACGAAAACACTAACAGCTACATAGTATGAATCTACTATTGTTTTTGCTTTTCTAGGTTTTAAGAATAGCCAACTATGAGCTTCAACCTTATACTATTCATGCCAGTACCTAACTATAGCTATTAGTTCGGAGCTTGATAATGAGGCCTATTATCAGATATTAGTTTGATCTATTTGAGATCTTTTTTATTCATTTTTTGGAATACAACTTCAAATACCGATACTATAAATCAAGCATCTTGTTTGGTATCTAGCGACCAATAGTCATATACTATAACTTCTAACTCATTTTGTTTTTTTTTAGTAAAAACCAAAATTGTATATAAAGTTCAATCATGTTTTTTATAAAATTTATCTTTTGGCTTATGTATAAACTAAGAGAGTATATATATCTATAGTACTTTATCAGACATATTTATGTAGAGATGTCTGTTTTCATATTTAAAATATCCGGATTTTTTTTATAATAATTGTCACAGCTGATGCTGAAAACGGCTGAAGCTGAAATTTTGGGGTCTCTATTTAGAACTATAAAACCTACTAAAACCCATCTATACACTTTAATTAATAAACCCTGACTCTAAACTTTACTCAAACTATTATATGAAGACTAAAAAAATGCACCCTAAAAATTTAATAATAAAATAATCAAAATTTCAGCATCAGCTGTGATAGTTATTTTACTGTAAAATTAAATTACCAGATTAAATGTATAGAAATTATTCTTGTAAATTGAAAATTCATATTTAGAGATGAGACTTAAAAATTAAAAATTCAAATATCATTCCCATTATATTAAAAAATTATTCTTCTTCAAATCGAACAATTAATTTTTCATATCAGATATTGTTAGTCTCATTACTAAATGTGAAGAATCATGTATTGTAAGTCCCAACTCTAGTTCTATTTGACGTATAAGCACGAAATAACGCCCAGGGGCGTTATTTCAAAATCAGATTTCCTTAAAATAGTTTACGTAGTTCAAATTAATGCCCATGGGCGTTCCAAATTAACGCGTGTCCTTATAATAAATAAAAGATAAAAGTGCTTCAGAGCTGGTTTGATATTAAGTAAAGTAAATTTATTTTTGACTTTAACAAAACTTATTCTTCAGGTCGAGACGATCTAATCGGTCAGTAGTTTGTCCACAATGCCTCTTTAAAGGTTTGCAATACTTGTTTACCTTTGGTTACATAATCTGTAAACAAAGATAAAAAAAATGTTGTAGGACTGTTTTGATAATTTTACCACCATATAATCGTCTCAGCCTGAAGAACAAATTTTGTTAAAGCCAAAAAATAGGGTTACTTAATATCAAATCCAGTTCCGGTACACTTTTTTTATTCTTATTATAGTTAGGGTGAATTTAATTCTTGTTTTGAAGTAACGCACTTGAAATAACACACAGGTGGGCGTTATTTTGCGCTTGTACGGTAATCGATACAAACTGAAGAAATAGTCTAAATACCAGCATCAAATGCTTTTAAATTAGTTATAAATTCATAATTTAATTAAAAGTAGAATTAAGTGCTTTTTAAATTAATTATACAATTCATAAATTTAAATTTCTTAAAGTAATTTGCTGTTTGACAAAAACAATAAGCAATCTTTTTGTTAGAATTTCGTATAACAATAATCTTGCAGGATTTATTTATCACTTAATTGGTATAAAACAATATTCAATAAATTATAATTTGTAAAATAAGTCTTTATTAGAATAGACTTTCGTATTAAATTCCAATTACTATAAGAAAAGTCTTTTTTACAATTACTGTATTTAAATTGAATTGACAATTTTGTGGCAAGAATTTTCTTGTTATAAATAGGTTAATTTATTATATTATTCTTGAAGAATAACATAATAATAATTATCAATTTTTTCAAAATATAAATACCTAATGTTTTCAATTTTAATTTTCAGGTTAAACTATAGAACCAGAAGGTAAAAGTTAAGATGATTCTAGACTTAAAATTGCGATTAATGAATACAATAAAAGAAAATATAGTTCAGCTTTTTCTACTTTTAAAAGCCTAGCTAGCTATGATTATTCAGATTCTTTCGACAAAAGTGGAATTAAAATCTATAGCCTGTCAATATTTTATTTAGTGCTTTGTTATATACATAGTAATGGTGTGAAACAAGATAAAAATAAAGCCTTAAGCATCGCAGATCATTTATACAATAAAGAAAAGTATAATGATACTTGGAATATTTATTGAGAACTAACTAAAGGTGATGAAATGAAATTGACAGCATTAGTTAAAATGGCAAATTGCTATCAAATCAATGAATATGATCCAAAAGAAGACAATTTTTTTAAAGTTGCATTAGAACTTTACAATAAGAAAAAATATAAAGAAGCATTTAATATTTTTTCAAAACTTACTTCTAGTAGAAATAGTAAGATTAGATTTCTTGCCACATGTTTTAAAGCATCCTACCATATTTCTGAATATAATAATATCAAAAGAAATAAAAATAATGCTTTAAACATTATATCAACGTTAAATTAATAAGTTAATTTGTCAACAGAAATAATAAAATTTTCAGAATTGAATGAGCTCAGTTGCATTAGTTGTTATTCATATTGTAGTAAATTGTGTGCAGAATTGGAAAATGTGAAAATATAAATCTTTTTTTTTTGTTTTCAAAATTTATTTTAGATAGCTTTGATATCAATTCTTAAAATTATTAATAGGATGAACAAAATCTACAGTCAAAAACAAGGGCAAATATATGCACAACAAGATTAATATCTTAATAATGTGATCTGATTAATAACATTAACTTTAACATTAACTTTAGGTTTAGACTACTGTTGCTTTTGTATTTTCTACATTGCCGGACAGGCAATTTCCTATTCGCCAATCACAACCCATACACGTGATTACTATGCCTTTTTTGTTCAATTATGCAAAGCATATTGATATGCGGCTAATTAAATCAAACATATCGCTATTTATCGTTATAGACACTCATATTAATTCGTATAGTAAATAATATAATTGGCTAATTATCATATATTAAACTATGATCATTAAGATAATTTTAAAAGTTTTCAGAACTGAATATTCAATATTAATTAAAAGTTTTCAGAATATGAATATTCAATATTAATTTATATTAATGAAAACTAAAATTCACTGGTTTGCTATTTTTGTTATCTTTGTGAATTTCTTCAATTATTTTCAAGGATTGTTTAAGAGTTTCTTCATTTTAATAATTTTTAAGCTGTAAATTAAGATCATTAACTTGGCTAGAAATATCTTTGTCTTGGTGGTTTCCAATTTTATTTAATAGAGCCTGAGCTTCATTATACTTTTTTTTTTAATAAAATACCTAACTAATCCAAGTTGTACATATTCGTGTTTATTTTTTTCATTTTTATATTGTTTGTTAAGATTTTGCATTAAATTATCATATTCATTTCTATATAACAATCTTTTCGCTTCTTCTGCGCCATAATCATTTTGATACTTATATTTAGATATCCAAAGCTTTGAATTAGGAAGACCATGATTATTAGCTTCAACAATTTTCCTATAACTATTACCAATATCTTGTTTGCAACCAAATCCAGAAAGGAAATGTAATCCTATTTTGTATTTTATTCGATAATTAAGTGAATCATCATAATCACCCTCTATTTCTTTATATTATTAAAGGCTTTAACATAATTGGAAGAAGCAGAGGCAGCATTAAATAATTTTACTCAACTATTAAGATATTTTACTTGAGAAAGTTTATTTTTTAGAAAGCATTCTCTAGCATGCTTATAATCACGATAAATTGTATCATAGTTTTCATTAGGTTTTTTATTTATTATTAGAAAAAACAATTTTTTATAGAAAGTTGTATATTTCTTTGATTAATTTGTATATTATTTAATAAATAATATTTACTCGACAAATTTATAATAAATCTATTATACGAAGTCATTATTATTTACATCGCATAAATTTAATAATTACTACTAACTTATAGTATATATTTTTTAATTTTCAATTTGTACAAATAAAATACATTATGAATACCGATACTAATGCATAATTGCTTTTATTAATTGAAATAAAAAATAATTAATTTTGCAATTTTGCAATATATAAATTTTTAAAACAATTTGGAATTCTAGAATCCAAATTATCTATATTATTTTAAATTTTGATGAGCCAGTTCTTGTACTTTTTTAATGAAATCAATTAAATAAATTCTTTTTTGAAGTAATTTGCACAGTACGTTATTTTATTCCTCTTCATTATATTCGTAAATAACTTATCTATAGCATGAGTTGTAGATCGATCAGAACTAGGATATTTAGATTCATCTTATCAAGTGACATCAAAATCATCCAATTCCATTTACAATAAAAGCTATTAAGTTCAAAGAATTAATACTGCATGAGGAGTTAGATTTCAATCATATTCAATAAAAAAGGTTGCTGTAAGTAACAGAAGCTAATTATACATATTGCAATTTTTTTAATTGACGGGTGATGCAGTCACAATGAGTCAATTAATTGCTATTGGATTGCTTTTTAAAAAATCAGTATACACTAGTAACTGGAAACCAGAATGGAGCATAAAAAAAATTTATATATGCACTATATTCTACTAATCAGCATCATGGACAGAATTCTCACGTAATCTAGATGATCACTTAAACATGTCCTCCGCGCTCTACATGGCAAGTGAAAGAAACTTAATTAATTCATATCAATTAATGAAATAATAATCAATTTTTTAATTGTGTCTTCTTTCTTTAATTAAGCTAACAATTTTTATTGTACTTACTGTATTTTGGGTTTATCACGTTAAAAAACTGATGTGTTCAATTGTGAATTATGATTATAAAACAAAATTGAATTCAATTTCAATGCAATCTAACAATTTTAACCTATATAATTGGGGTTTGGGCTCTATAGCTTAGTGGTTAAGCTGCCAACCCCCACAGTATAAGCTAAGGTCCACGGTTTGATTCAGGCTGGAGGCGAAAGAAACTCTGTAACCTTATGATGTT